AAATTTTAAACTGTCCATCTGCATTGGCAGTCTGCTAGTTATTTTCTGTGTCCTGCAGAAAGTCTGGCAGACTCTTCCATGAAGCAGGAACCCTGAAGGACTGTCCAAATTCAGTAGTCTCTTTTCTGTGGGTCTTGCATGTCCAGATTATATAGCGACAGTCAAACAGTCTAGGCAAGAGCAGTTTCTTGCCCAAATGGCTAATCTTGCCATGTTGAAAGCAAACTCCATAATGAGTTTCTTTGATGCCCATCTTCCTCTCAGATGTAATTGATATGCCAGGAGCAGACATTTCTCATTGTCAAGAAAAACCCTAAACCATTTTCTGAAGATCTTTGAAAGGTTTGAAGACAGTCTATCTCTTTCAAATATATCTCTATATCTATAAAACCTAACTAACCTAACTATAAGTTAGGTTATGACTATTATAGTACTATCTATAATCTGTATTTAATTATGTATTACATTTTTAAAAGATCAGTATAAACACAATACTTAATCAAGAGGAGAAATATACACATCACAAAATTGACCTTAAATTTGAATCAATAAATGAAAATCCATTCCAAGCCAGGCATTGGTGGCGCACGCCTTTAATCCCAGCACTCGGGAGGCAGAGGCAGGTGGATCTCTGTGAGTTCGAGACCAGCCTGGGCTACCAAGCGAGTTCCAGAACAGCCTCCAAAGCCACAGAGAAACCCTGTCTCGAAAAACCAAAAAAAAAAAAAAATCCATTCCAAGACAAAGTATTAATTTCTATACCATATTCCCTTTTTTCCCTTTAGAAAGAGATTGACTGTGACCATTACCATTTATAAGCAACCCTGTATAAATGAAAACAAACATTTAACAATATTTGGGAATTTGGGCGCTGTTCATTCCAAACTGCTTCTTGCTGATAGGGAGCGCTATCCATACCATGGGGATCATGACAAAACTCAGAAATCTGGCCAAGTCCTTGTTTTTGTAGTCCATAAGGCTGCATCATCTCAGCTGTTTCAGATGCTGGGTCACCTGGGCCACTGCTTCCAGGGGTCTTGGTTCATCACACCATAGAAGCCTGGAAGGAATTCACAGCTTTCCATTTTCTGTGGAAACATAAATAAAATCTTTTTTTTTTCTCAAGTAACCTATCCTTATGTTCAGATTTAGAAGTCAAAGCATTTTGAAAATATATAAGTTGGATTAATTTAGCAGTATTTATAATCAAGTATATTTTAGCAGTTGTTCCTTCCTTAGCAATTGAACAATTGAAAAACACAGTATCCAGACTCTTTGTGAATTTTTCATCTTTACATGGCTTTTTTTTTTTTTTTTTTTTGGTTTTTCGAGACAGGGTTTCTCTGTGGCTTTGGAGGCTGTCCTGGAACTCACTTTGTAGACCAGGCTGGCCTAGAACTCACAGAGATCTGCCTGCCTCTGCCTCCCAAATGCTGGGATTAAAGGCGTGTGCCACCAACGCCCGGCTTTACATGGCTTTTTTATTACTCCGTATCTTTTAATTTTCCTTTTTTGAGACAGGGTCTCTCTGTGTACTTTGGCTGCCCTTGAACTCGCTCTGTAGACCAGGCTGGCCTTGAACTCACAGAGATCCGCCTGCCTCTACCTCCTGAGAGCTGGGATTAAAGGCGTGCGTGCACCGCCACAGCCAGCTACTCTCTTTATTTTTTTCAGTATCTTGTTTCTTTTACTCTCCCAAGTCTACCTGTATTTTTAAACACAGTATAAACCTTTTTGAGATTTTACTTCATCTGTATCTGACTTTACTGTAAAACTTTATGCTTATCTGGCCACGTGTCTTATGTAGGCTAAAGAGCACTGCTAAAATTAAAGCAGAAATAGCCACTGGCTTTCCAACATGGTGGGCTTAAGTTTGCCACCAGGTCACTGGGAGCTGTGCTCACCACCTAGCCTGTGCCAACATCAAGCAAATGCTGCCAGCTTGGAGATGTGGCCACTCCCACTGTCAGCTGCAAGTACACGCCATTCAATTGTTAGCAGGGCCTCTTAAAAGATCCTCGAAGTTTTTCCACTTATGCTGACTCAGGAAGACTTCCTTATGTGAGCCACTGTGAGTCTCTGCTTATCTCTAGCAAAAGAGCTCACCCGAGAAAAATGCTACTACCGAGAAGAAGCTGTGCTTCTCTCTGTTCTTTTGTTTCTAAAATCCCTTTTGCACTTTTGTCATTTTATGTGAAAATTCACATCCCACATGCTGACACCATAATATAACGCTTAGTCTTCTAGTCTGCCCGCCGCCTGGTTCCTGTTGCTGCTTTCAGCCCCCAAATCACTGCTGGCCGTTTTCTTGGTTTCTTATCGACTAGCTCTGATTTGATTATTAACCCATAATTACTAATATACATTTTGGGTTTTTTTTTTTTTGAGACAGGGTTTCTCTGTATTGTTTTTGGAGGTTGTCCTGGAACTCGCTCTGTAGACCAGGCTGGCCTCGAACTCACAGAGATTCACCTGCCTCTGCCTCCCGAGTGCTGGGATTAAAGGCGTGCACCGCCAACACCCGGCTTAATATATATTTTATAAGAACTTTTTGAGGATGCACTCCTGAGCACCTGTTGCTCCCAGGAGATGACATGCCGAGAGCGCTCCTCACTAAAATTCCCAGAGTCCTCCTAGACTCCTAGTCTCACCTATCTTGTTTCCCTATTGGCTAACAGTGCTTTAATCACACCAGTCAGACACATATTTACAGAATGATGTCTTCTAACACACCTGGCTTCTCTAGACCCCCAGGAAGGTCCCTGCCAGGTTGTGGGGGCTTCCCAGTCCAGCCTGTCCTGGCTTGGAGCCAGAGCACCTGTTTTCCTTCTTTAGATAGGAGGTGTGGGCACAGGTCTAGGGCCCATCCCAGGTTGCAGTGGAAACAACTTCAGGCCAGGGTAGGCCATGGTTTTTTTTGTTTGTTTGTTTTGAGACAGGGTTTCTCTGTGACTTTGGAGGCTGTCCTGGAACTAGCTTTTGTAGACCAGGCTGGTCTTGAACTCACAGAGATCTGCCTGCCTCTGCCTCCCCAGTGCTGGGACTAAAGGCGTGCGCCTCCACCTGGCTCCCGGGGTAGGCCATGTTTTACTCACAATGAAGTCTGGATGCTTCAGCCCTGGCAAGAGACACACACTGAGTGTCCCCCATCTATCCTCACTGTTCCTCAGACACACCTACAAGTTCTTAGGCTGTTCCTTTAGCTGAAGTGACCCTGACCACTGTCTTTTTTCCATGAGACAGGGGCCTCACCATGGTGCATAGGTTGGCGTCCAAACTTATGAGCTCAAGCAATCGTCCTGTTCAGTCTCCTGAGTAGGGGAGACTGCAGACATGCTGCCACACTCAGGTTAGAGCTCCTGGGGTCCTGGTGTACAGAATATTCTGACGGGCCTGCGGCTACTCCCCGCAATGGGACTCCCTGCTCCCCCACATGACACATAGGCCCTGTCCAAGACACTAACCTCTCACTCAGCTGCCAAGTGACTGGCCTGGCTCGGGGACCTCTGGAGACTCGGGCAGGAGGAAGCAAGCCCTGCTTTACCTCCTCTGTGAGAGGAAAGTGCCAGACTGACAGCCAAGACAGAAACCCCCAGTCCTACCCTGCCCTGAGCTGCAAACCTAAAGAAATAGAAAAATGAAGCAGCGGGGGTTGGGCAGTCAGAACCTAGGAGGCCAAACCCTCCTCCAGCATTCTAGGGGCTCCATCCTCCAGGCCTGTAGTTTCCAGTCGTTTATCCCATCATGCGGTTCTTCTTTCTGGAACCCCTCTGAGGGAACTGCCCTTGCCACTCAGCTCTTCCATTTCTGGTCAGGACGCCTGGCTATCGGTAAAGCTACATAAGTAGGAAGGCTGGAATTACTCAGCTAGTAAGCTGACAAGCCTGTACAACCTTTCAGAGATTTCTGAGTCTGGAAGAGATGGGCTATGGGACATGGGCATGTGCAGGAACCTTGGCCTGGAGTATGACCAAGCTAGCAAGGGGTTGTCATGCCCAACCACCTAGGATCTGGTGCCACCAGAATTCACTGTTCCTGCCCACCTCTGCCCTCATGTGGCCGCCCCTAGAATTGCAGATCACACTATGTCCTAGATGTCCGTCTGGGCTATATTGTCAGTGAGTTCTGCCACATTTTTTGTCTGAGCCCACCCTACTTGGCCTAGGCCCTTCAGAGCACTCATTCGGGGGTCCTTCAACAAAGGAGAACCTTGGGTCCCCGCTTGTCCCTCTGCTGGCTACGGATATGTTTCCATGACATTTGCTCCAGGACTAGGTCTACGTGAGCAGGTCAAATAAAAGAGGTTTAGTTCTGTGCCTAGCTTCTTAGGTATGGCCCCCACAGTGATGGCACCTGGGCAGGGTTTGGAGCCCAGGCTTCCTGCAGCACAGTAGGTCGTAAACAGGGGAACAGTGTCACCGTGGCCAGCCCCTCGAGGGTGATACACAGGCATGTGGCTGGGGAGGAGGTAGGACAAGGCAAAAGGTTCCCGTCTCTTCCATCTCCAGAGGAGCCCAACGTGACAGCCCTGCTGAGCCTTTTGCAAGCATAGGCCTTCTCCCTGGTTCCCATGACTCTTCTTACACCTGGAAAAGCTTGGGGCGGACTATATCAGACGAAGCAGGCAGGGTTCAGCCTCTGATGCTGTCAATGAGAGACCGCACGGGCAACCATGGAAGAGTGGCGAAGCAAAAAGAGACACACATCAGGGCAGAGAGGGGAGGAGCTTGTTTTCTTGTTGTTCAGGCAGGGTAGGGTGTTCCTGAGTACGCGATGCAAGAGGTAGGAGTACAAGCCGCCTTCTAGAGGACTCGCCGTCTCTGCTCAGGCCCTGAGGCCTCTCCTCACTGTGGGAGTTGGACCTACCTGGGCTCTCAAGTTGGTACAGGAGCCAAGTCAGCTCAGTTCTGGGGGCCCTTCCAGGAGGGCAGGTGCCAGCCTTAGTCTGTCAGGGTTAGGGAGGTGAGGGGCTTGTGAGCTTTCAATGAAGGAATATTTGGGCTTGGGTCATAGGCACTCCCGTTTTAGGACAGGGGTCTGCAGTGTTGAAGGCACAGATATTAGATGGGGGAATCATAGGGACTAGGGTACGTGTGACTTGGGCTTCTCCTGGGAGGCGGGGTCTTGGTGACCACATGGCACGATGCTGTCAATCAAATGTGCTCCCGCCTCAGGGCTGTGAACCCCACATGGTCCTGTAACAGATAATGAGTTGAAGGTGGCACATGGGTCCCACCAACTACTTCTAAGACTTAAGATAGGTAAAAAGGGACAGAGGTGGGGGGTCTTTAGTGATGTCCCCACACAGGTACACTCTTACATGTTGCCCTTCCTGCGGCGGTGCAGCAACACATAGATGATAGAAATCAGGGCCACTATGCCCAGGCCTCCAAAGATGATACCCAGCAGCACCGCGTAGCTCCGTCCTGGCAGAGATGAAAGTAGTGGCCGTGGGCATGGGCAAGGAGACACAGGTGTGCAGAGGCAAGCTGGCTCGTGGGAGAGGCATCTCACCTGGCTGACACTCTGGGGTAGGCATAGACCAGGTACCATCAGCTCGGCAGATGCTAGTCTCTGATCCTACCAAGTTGTAACCACTGTTGCAGCTGAAACTCACAACGGAGTCCACCAGGTACTTCACGCCTTCCTTGTGCCCATTCGAAGGTGGGGGTAGCCAGCCACAGGACACCACTGGGAGAGGGGCAGAGCAGAGAGAGCAGGCCTGAGCTGCCGGCCACCGAGAGGTTGCTCGGCAACCTGAGAGGTCCACCCCTCGGCCCCGTTCCCAGCCCTACCGGCCTGCAGGCTATTCAGGTGATGTCGGTGCAGTTGGTGGGCAGCCCGGGTGGCATTGCCCACACTCAGGTTCCCTGTGCTTATCACGTCGAGGATGCAGAAACGGTCACCCTCACACAGTCTGTTCACCTCGTCTGCCTGGCTGGGGCTGAGTGCGATCTCCTCAGGGAACAGTGGTTTGAAGTTGGGGTCATGCTTGGGTTGGTTCAAGAATTTGTAGACCAGAAACCAAGAGTCATAGGTGAACAACGAAGAGGTGTTGGAAACAACCCCTGTAGAGACAGGCGTCAGTCTTGTGTGGGTACGGTCCCCCGCCACACGGGGATCCGCTGTCACCCTGTGTTCAATCCCTTGTCACCCTCCCTGCCATGCTTGTACCACCCGGTCACTCACAGTCCGCTCCAAACTGAAACACCTGCTGCGCGCTGGCATTCGGGGGCAGGATCTGCCCGTTGCGCAGGGTGAAGTCATCCTTGGGGTTATCGTTGAGTGTCCCCAGGAGGCCACGGGTGTGAGTCAGGAACTTCTCAGGCAGCAGGATGGTCACACTGAGGAAAGGGCCTTGTATGCCCACCTCGAGGCCAGCCCCCGATGACAACATGATTGATACCTTATCCTCAGAGGTCACTGACAGAAACATGCCTGTCCACAAGCAGAGATGGGTTAGGGTTGCCCTCTTGGGCCCTGTGTGTGGGGACACCAGACCTTCTGTGTTCTGCCTCCCAGCCCTCGCCACAGCACCAGGGTAGGGTGGAGAGTACTTGCAGGAAGACGGAGATGTACCTAGGACTGCCTGCTGACTCTCGCCTGCCACTGCTCCTACCCCACATCCGCAGAGGGTCTCAAGGCCACCCCCGCAGGGATTTCTCCTCCTCTTCCATGTTGAGGCCACGTTTGGGTCAATCCCTGATGTGACTACAACAGCCTGGCCTGCGGTGGCCCTTCCCGAAGGTCTTTGTGTACGATGCTCCCACCCACCCCACTAGGAGCTGTCTCATTGTTCGACTCTGGGGCAGTATGGCGTGGTGGCAAGGGTGTTGGATGCCACTGCTGTGGCTCCCGGCTGCCACTTCCAGCCTGTGTTCTTACATCGGCTGGGCCGGCGTCTTTGCAGTGGGTTTTGAAAGTTGAACGAGTAGCCACAGCAGAGAGGTGAGCCCCATCACCGTGGTCTTGGGCTTCTGTTGGCTATATGGAGGACTGTATTCTAGTCCTTGGCCATTCAGGGCCCTGAGTAGGTCCCATAGTTATGGCAGGTGGATATGAAGGTCTGAGAACAGACCTCAGGCTGAGCAACTGCTCTCTGTGGCCCACAACAGTCCCAAACAGGGCACGGATCCTCCAACCTGCAGCCATGTGCATCTTGACCTCGCCAAGGCCCAAGGAACCTTGGCGTTTGCGTTTGTGCCCCAGATTCTACCACAGCCTATGGCCAGGGCTAGGAGGAACGGTATGAAAGTCATGGGTGACCTCTGGATCATGCTTGGCCATGTGACCCTGTCACTCACCCTTCAGGTCCATCCAATTCTGCTCGGTGAAACTGAGGGCCTTCTGGTTCAGCAACACTTGCAGGGCCTGAGGCCTGTCAGTTAGCCGCACCTCTACCACATCCGAGTTGTCTTCTTGGACAGCCACTGCCATCAGCCCCGTGCCTCGGGCCTGGGTGCCTAGGTGGTGGGTGCAGAACGGGTTGTTTGGGTCCTGTCTACTAAGCCTGGGTGACCCCCAGATAGAGACCACGGGGCCCTGCCTCACCGTTGGGCATTCTTCCTGGTCGGGCCCGTCCCTGCACCCTCAGGTCAGTAAGTGTCGTCTCCAGCAGCACATACTCGCCACTTCCGCTGAATGAGAAGCTGGTGCCATCGAAGGTGACAAAGTGGGGGTCCCCAAAGGCAGAGGCTGAGGTGAAATCAGAGGATCAGGTAGATTTCTTTGAACTTTCCCAGTCAGGCATGACCCTCCCTGTGCAGGCACTCGGGCGCCCAGGCCAGCACCCACCCAGGCGTGGCGGTCGGTAGCTGCGGCAGTCGCTGGAGGGTCGCCGTTTCATGTAGCGGGAACACTCGGGAGCCCAGAGACAGCAATAATAGAAGCTCATGACATCATACAGCCAGTGGGACATGCCGGGCACACGGGGAGGGGTGCGGTATGGGGGTGCGCCCCAGTCATGGCCTCTGTCAGGGGTGCTGCCGCTCGTCGAGTCTGAGGTCAGGAGTTGTGTGCCTGCTGCGGTGTAGCAGCACTGCTGGCCGGAGCCATACCTGGGGCTGGGGTAAGAACAAGTCAGGGCCATTGCTGGCGGCTGCCCCGAATCCCTGCCCGTCCCCCGTCCCTGGTCGGGTAGCTCACCTGGCCTGCACGGAGCGCACACAGTGCACAGCCCCTGGGTGGTAGGTGCAAACACTGCCTTGCTCAATGTCACAGCCATAGTCAGTCTGCAGGATATCCAGGAGTTGTCACCTGGGCTCTGCATCATTCCCTCCCTCCCCGGGAACCAACCCCAAGGAGACCTTCAGATCCCACCCTACCTCCTGGTGGCCTCTGTCTACCTCAGTCCTCCCCCGTCTCTGGAGCCCTAATAGGTTCAGGGGCTTACAAAGAAGCGGCCAGAGTCAGCCCTGGCCTGGGCCAGAGTGCAGGGGCAGTCTGGCAGCTCCTTCAGGAAGTCGGGCAGCTGGTCTTCCAGTGCCTCCCAGGCCAGGCACTGTTCCCGGGCCCAGGCTACCGAGTCTGCCCGGAAGTCATCACCCAGGTGCCAGGCCAGTGCGTGATCATTGGTCCAGAGTGCCAGCACATCCCTGAGGAAGAAAGGACGCACCGTCTAAGGGCTGCTTTCCAAGCCTGAGCCCGGGGCCTTCCACAGCAAGCTCTGCCGTCTGCAGGCAGATGGTCCCGGCGGCGTATCATCTGCTAGGCCCTTACTGTTGTCCTTCATAGTTCCTGCTGTTGCTGATCCTCAGGGCGCCCACTCGCCACCTCTGGTGCTCAGGAGATGCGGGTTTGGGGATGAAAGTAAAGAAGCCAGTGTTGGGGGTGTTTCTAGTCAGAGAGTACAGATAGGACCACTTTGCTGTCCAGTTCTCAGAGTAGGGTTTCCCTAGAGGAAGAGATGACCATTGGTCAGCCCTCCCAACGACACCTTCCTTCCCTCAGTCTCTGGAGCTGACCGCCCGAATGATAGAAAGAAAGCAAATGGATAGCAAGATGGTCCCTGTGGATGGTCATGCGCTGATGTTTCAGCAGGGTCCCCGGCTCGGGTGACCAGTGGGGACACACGTGAATCACCGGCTCTGGTCCATGACAGGCCCAGAGAAGATGGAGCGGCAACGGCTGCTTCTGTCTTCAGCATACACCATCTACTCAAAGGTCACAGCATCCACCACTCCTACTGGCTCTGGGTCCGCCATGCATGCCGGCGGAAGTTACTGCTGTTCTTTTCCTCTCTCTGCAAAACCCTCCCCATCTACAACCCTCCCACTTGCAAACGGCTTCCCATACCCCTGCTTCCTTCCCCTCTTGGGACTCATCTTCTCCCATCTGAGCATCTGACGTTTCCAACACCTCCAGCAGCCCTTGGCAGGCCCTACCTGTCTCCTCATAACCCCACAGCTCAATGGCGACAGTCGGTGTGGGCAGCAGTGAGGTGTTCCAGGTGAGGCTGAGGTTCCCACTGGTGTCTGAAGTGCCGTAATACTGCCAACGGGTCTCATTCACCAGCTGGCTCTTCTCAGACTCGGACACTTTGTAGGGGTGTGCTGGGCAGGGGCGAGTGGGGAATGAGTAAAGACTTAATTGCACACCTGGAGGGCTCTGGGAACCTCTCAATAACAAACTCTGAAAGGGACTAGGTGATGTCTCCCTCAGGGTCTCTTGGCAGGAAGTCATCATGACAGGAGGGATGAAGGAGATGCAGAGCTGAGGAACCACGCCAGATTACTCTTGTCATTTGACCCTTCCCCAGACCCTTGTTGAGGGACTATCAGGTCTGGGCCAGATGGGGACCCCATAGCTCCAACTCCTTTGTGGGCTGGGACTCCGGTCTAGATGCCACGGGTGGAGTAATGAATGACAGAAACCCTTGCCCAAGGGACTGGTCGAGCCAGAGAGACAGGTAGGCAGACTGGGTCTAGTATCAGTGTGGGTATTAGCATTGGGGAAAGTCCCATGGCCTTGGATTGCAGATGGAAACCAGGGCCCACGGAGGGTGGGGTCTGCGGGCTTACAGCCTAGACCAACTTGGCAGAATAAGAGCTCACCAGCAAGCCAAGTGCCTGCGCGAGGGAAGGAACGTCCATTGTCCAGGGAGATGGTGAAGGGAATGTGGCCACTTTCATAGAGCAAGGGTGATATACAGTGAACTCGATTCAAGCTGTCAACATAGCCCAGGGTCTGGACACTGTCCTTAAACCTGAGGGACAGAGATGGCAGAGTCCAGCCTGAGTCAACAGCTCTGAGGGAATGGGTTAGGCTAGGTATCCCTGCACCCTCCTGCCTGCCCTTGGTCCCAGGGCAGTACCTCTGGGCCCCCCTCCACACATGGGCTGAGGGTATGGGAGCCCGGATGGTCCAGCTGCGTCGCCCTTCCCCCCCACCTGCAAATGACGCCGTCAGTAGAGCCAGGCCACTCTAGATGCTGCACCACGAAGTCTTTGCCACCCATCATGGAGCCCGAGGAGGGTGAAATCTCGAGGCAGTAGTTGAGAATGTCTTCACAACAGGTGCCAAGGCCAGAGCAGGTTGGGTGACAAGAGCAGGCTCCATGCTGCTCCCCACAGCGCAGGGAACAGCTCCCCCGGGCACCTGGGGAAGAAAGCCCTGTGTACTGGGGTCAATTACCCGGGGCTCCATGGATACCTCCCGGGAATTGCTCCAGCTACCAAATGACACAGGGGAAAGTCACAGACCCCATAGGCTGGGGCCCATCTTAGCACAGGTAATGGAGTGGCTTCTCCATGACTAGAAAAGGGTCTTCTTGCTTGCCTGGGGGCACAGAGCCACCCATAGTCCCACTCAAGGTCCAGGAGGGAATGGTATCTGGGCGGAATTTTTCCTATCTCTTTCTGGGGGTACGGTAACAGTCGACTCCCAGAGAGCCCCACCCTCTGTGAAGGCAGCCAGGACACTCCCTTTTAGGGGACAGGGGTACATTCCAGTGGGGATTCCAGCACAATGCACTTGGGAGGACACCACAGGGGCTGTGAACATTCTGTCCAGGCTTTCCTCTACGGGCTGTGGAGACCTATGGCAGGGGTGTATTTCAGCCCCAGGGCTACAAGGCCGTGACTGGGGTGGGGTGTTAACTTCCCAAGCCAGACCATATTCCCTCTCCCACCTGGCCCTTCCAGGCGCCTGGGGAAGGCGGTTCACCAGGGGTCAGGCCTGGGCCTAAGCCACTAGTCCACTGCACTAAGAGGAGAGCTTGCACTCAAGAGCAGCAATAAATATTTATTGGCTAAGGATTTAATGTTGGCAAGGGGTGTGGGAAGATGCTTCATGATGCCATGAGATAAAAGTGTCAGAAGGGTGGTGGCACTTTCCTGCAGTGGAAGATGGGGTGAGGCAGGGGACTGTGGGCCGGGAACTCCCAGCTCAGCTCAGGGAGAGGCCCTGGCTGTAAGCTCAGCAGCCTTCTCACTAGACTTTCTGGAGTCTGATAATAAGACCGGCACAGGGACAGACAGAGACCGGGCTCCCTGTGCAATCACAGCCTTCCCTGGGGCTCAGGGTGCAGGCCCGGGGCTCTTTGGTCTCCCCTGCTCCCTTCTTAGGCCGTGTTCTCGTCAAGAGCTCGGGTTGGGGTTGATTCAGATCTCCCGTCTCCACCAGAAATGTCTAGAAGCAGAGGCCAAAGAATTTCTTCCCAGTACTCCCCAGCACACAGCCCCAGATGGACCGCCAGATGGACAAACGCCGAACCCAGGCGGGTGTCTGCTTCGGGCCTGCCTCATCAGGCAGATGGACAGGGAGGGTCTGCAGGGCAGAGTGGGGCATACCTGCTGTGGGCCTGGGACCTGGGATTGTCACCAGCAGCATCAAAATCCAAGGCAGGAGGGCCAGCTTCATGGCGTGTCCCGTGCATGCAACCAGCTGGCAGCACAGTGGCTCAGAGATTGCAGGACAGGCTCCCTCCCTGCTGGCCTGGCCCCGCCCACCAGCCCCGCCCAGCGCTCTGCGGCAACACTCCTCCCCTTCCTTCGTTCCCTTCCCCCCTCCTCTCAAAGTCCACAGGTGCCCAGAGACCAGCAAAGCCTGATCTGCCTAGTTAGCACATTCTTGTCCCCTCATCACAGCCTTGGGACCCTGGGTGAGAATGAGGGGCTGGAGCGCCCAGACATTAAGACCTTTGACACGCAAGACGCCAGATGTCTTGAGGCAGTTCAGACCCTGGGTCACACAGTCCAGTCTTATGTGCAAGGCTTCTGCAGGGCGGGTGATGCAGTCCTGGTCCTCTCAGGACAGACCTAGACCTCTGTTTTCCTTAGGGAGGTGTTCTTCCTCTCACAGGCAGAGGTGGAGCACGGAGTTAGTCTGCTTGGAGTGCTGCATGGACTTGAGACTGGGTCATGTCTGATTCACAGCAGGCTTCGGTCACCACCCAGAGGAGCCCAGAGCTGAGGCCAGCCTGGCCCGGGTGTTGTCATTATTGACACCCTGTTCTGGCTTCTCTAAGCTTCTGCAGAGGAGGATCATGACGGAGCCCCTCACAGGATGACGAGCTAGGCAGGCTGGCTTATGAGCTGAAGCCATCTGGGCTGTGATCCTCCTCTGGTCCTGGGTCTCAGCCAGCCCATTGTTCTATGGGCCTTGTGCATTCTTAGCAACTAGTCAGGGCTGGAGGTCACCTGTGGGTCTCCCTTGAGTATCTGAGGAAACCTGTGCCAACTCCACAGGTGTGTGTGGTAACAAGTTTTCCAAGGCTGTCATGCTCACCTTGCAGAGGGGGAAGAAAATCTCCCAAGCCACAGGGTACTCTGGGTGCACACAGGACCCGTGGCAGGGAGTGGCCTGTGCCAGCACCCAGGCCCAGGACTGAGGGTTCTCCCTACCATGGCGGGTGGGGATATGGGTAGGCAGAGGTGCTTCGATGAGTGACCGCAGTCCCTGGTTTCTTGGCTCTTCAGGTGAGGACTCATCTTGGGTTGCCATATTTCTAGCTCCAAAGGGCCTGGATTAGGGATCTAGGGTCTAGTCTAGTTTCTTCCTTCTCAGTTGAGGGCATTGGCTCAGCCCACGAAGGCACAAAAGGGTACTCCATCTCCTTTCTGGCCTAGAGCTTTCAGGAGAGACAAATAGGGCTCTGAAGTGCTGTGGGTGACAGTCATGACAAGCAGGTATGAGCCCCTGGAACATAAGTATCTCCAAAATAAATGACATGGAGCCCGGGAAGGGAAACGGCCAGTATCACAGTCTGTTGCAGTCATTTTTTTTTTTTTCGAGACAGGGCTTCTCTGTATTGTCCTGGAACTTGCTCTGTAGACCAGGCTGGCCTTGAACTCACCAACGACTCTATTGTGGTCTTAAAAGTTAACTTTTAGGCTAAGCGTTTGTGGCACACGCCTTTAATCCCAGCACTTGGGAGGCAGAGGCAGGCAGATCTCTGTGAGTTCAAGGCCAGCCTGGTCTACAGAGCGAGTTCCAGGACAGCCTCCAAAGCCACAGAGAAACCCTGTCTCGAAAAACCAAAACAAAAAAGTTAACTTTCAGCCCAGTGCTGTGGCACATGCCTGTAATCTTGCTCAGGAGGCTGAGGCATGGCCTGCCCAGGCTACAGAGCCTATTTGGTTACATAGCAAGATCTTGTCTCATGGTTTCAATCTAGTGTCTCCCCAGATCTTCCGTTTCTAATTTGCTCATGTATGTCTGTGCACCACGTGTGTGCAGTGCCTGCGGAAGCAGGAAGGTGAGCATTGGCTCTCCTGGAACTGGAGTTGGAGCTGGATGTGGACTGCCATGTGTGTGCTGGGCACTGACCCTGGCAGAGTAGTTGGGGCTCTTGACGACTGAGCCAATTCTTCAGGCCCCAAATCTTCCTTCTGAGCCAGCAGCCCACATGTATTCTGTCTGGGCTGCACATGGGTGTACCTGCTCCTGTCAGGCACACCCCCCTGCTCCTGAGCTGCTTAGTCCCCTCCGAGTCCTTCTGTTAACTCCTTGGCATCACACAGCTCTGCCTTCTTTGTGTCCTTACACTGCAGAAGCTCCAGGAAACCTGACACCTTCTCAGACACAGGCCCATCCTCACCAGGAGGCTCCCCCAGCAGCCCAGGGGCTTTTAAACAGTAGTACCATCCCCCGCACCATGTGGGCACCCCCTCAGGGTAAGCAGAGAAACAAAGACCATTTTCTCAGCTTTATTAGAAAAGAACAACAATGACAAAAAAGGGTGTGGTGTGAGCTAGGCTCTCTGATGTCTCAGCAGAACCCAAGCTAGCCTATCTTGGCAATGAACTGTGGGCCTGGCCTGGCCAGGAGGGCACGGGCTTGTAAAGAAAGTCAATATTCATCAAACAAAAGTGCCAGCCCTTCTGAGCAGACCACAGCCCGTTCATCCTCAAGTGCCTAAGACAGGTCATCTTCCTCTGGACAACACACTGGTGTGGACAGCCTCAACCGGGGCAGGATGCTGTAGAGAGGGCTGGGCAGGCTTAGGGAAATGGTACCTCACACGGGCTTCTGGCCTTGCCCAGGGTCTGGACCACAGGGATTCCAGGCCTAGCTTTCGCTCTGGGTATGGCTGTAGGGCTCTGGGTGGGTGGCCCCCCCCTCCCCTCACATATCCATCCCATATTCGTCGTCATCGTCTGTCTCACTCTCCAATGAGGACTCCTGGCTGGACGTCTCCAGAACCTCCAAGGCTGGCTGGCACAGGCTCTCCTTCCTCACATTGGCAGCTGACTGGGCGGACAGGATGGCTGACTGCACACAGGGCAGGGCAGAACATGGTCAGGAGTGACTGGCCTTACCCTAACCCTCTTGACATCAATCCAAATTCTCACCCACGCCTCCCCGTAACTCAAGTCCCTTCCCTGAGCCCCACCAGACCTGGTACCCAGAGTCACCTTCAGCTTCTGCTTGGTCTCCTCCGAAATGCTTCCTTTGGGGGAAAGCAGGGTGGGGGTAGGTGGTGTGACGGTGATCTCAGGGGGAAACTTGGTGGTGGCTGAGGGGATCACCAGTTTTGGCATGTTGGACAGGAGGCGGGATTTGGTCCTGCTGGATTCAGCCTTGCCTTGGTGGCTCTCGGGTGTCTGCGTACTTCCAATGCTGGCAACCTTAGTGCTGGTGGCTGTTGGGAGACCTCAGAGTTTGAGTTCACTCAGCCTCTCAGTCTGCCTGTCTTTTCGCTAAGAACTCAGTTCCTCCTATGGAAGTCAGAGGGTCCATGCATGGATTCTTTTCTGGCCTACGCTGACGTAAAGAGTTCTGGGCTCACCTCGGGTTGCAGACTGGCATGATAGTTTTGTACTTGCAACTAGGAGAAGCCTGGGCTCTGAGGAGCATCGGTGGACTCCAGCAGTCTCTCTGAGATTTCCCAAAACCGTTGTTTTATCTTCTGAACTATTCCACTCCAGGGGGCCCAGTACACACTTTGTCTCTCACTCCAGGATGAGTAAGGAGCTGAGCCTCCTGGAGGCAGTCAAGGCCATGGCAGACTGCGGATCTGAGACCTGGCAGCCTCCAGGGAGCTGCGTGAACTGGGAATAACCCAGCTGCCCTGGCAAGGCTCCACATTCTTTTAGCCTCATCTCTTTAAAAGGAGTTGGGAGCTTATCCAGAGCCTTGCCCGGTGTTCGTGGGCTGGCGCCATGTCCTTCCATCCTGAGTGGTCTATGGGAGACCTGGCCAAATGGTCTCAAGGGGCTGGTGGATTCCCACAGAGAAACTTCAGTGACAGGTCCAAGCTCCTCCCCATACAGAACTTCCCCTCTGGGCTTAAGAGAGACTCCAAACCCTACCGGTAGGACCCTTCTGTGGAGCTGGGGTGAAAGGAGGTCTAGGGTCCCAATAACGGTCCCTGCCAGGCTCCAACCAGGGCTCTTCCTCATCTATCCTCCAGTCTACCAAGTGGGATCCTCTGTGGGGAAGCCTACCTACAGTGTCTGAGAACAGCATGGTGGAGCTGCGCTGGGCTGCTCTCCACTGACCTTACCTTGGCTACAGGTGGGCTCGGCACCTGTCTGGCAAGCAGCCTCCACTGACCAGCAGTGCTGCTCAACCAGGGGACCTGTGACAGCCATTTTCATCTGGTGACTGTGCCGTGGTTCCTGGGGTGGGAAGCTGGCACCTTCTGCCACTCCTGATGGCTCTTCTCTCTCTATGGAGACACAGACCAACTGCAAGTTACACCCCATTTCATGGGGATGGGGACAGGTTCCCTTGCCAGATCCCTGTGCCTCTGTGACAGGCCTTGTAGGCCCAGACTATGCCCTAGAACATGTGGTCAACATGGGAACTTTGGGATTAGGTGGCTCCCAACTCCACAGGAACCAGGAACCAGCATTCTTCTGCTGCATGAAGGCATAGGCTGATAATTTCAAGGTATTTATCACACCTCAAGGGGAGGGAGAGAGGAACGACACAAAAGAGAGGGACACAGAGGAGACAGGGAGAGAGAGTCACCAAGTGGAGCAGCTGTGCCTGACATAACCAGAGCCCTGCCTATCTTTATGGGCTGATGCCCTGTCCGTTTGTCCTGACATAACCAGAGCCCTGCCTACTCTTCATGGCCTGATGCCCTGTCCGTTTGTCCTGACAGAAATGAGCCACAGAGAGAGATATGTCTGTGCCCTGTCTCAGCTGCCCACAGGGACTCAGCTCTTGACCTCGGTAAGACCTCACCACATGGCTGTCGGGTGGGCCGTCCCTTTTCTGGTTCATAGGAATGGAAATCACAACTGCAGTCAAAAACCATTCAAGCCACTAAGGCCAAAGTAGACAGAGAACATGAGGGCACCATATCTTCCTGCTGGGCAAAATTCCTCCTTCCCTGGCACAAGGCAGGGGCTTGGAAGTGGTCACATGTGCCAAAGACGGGATGGAATCAGGGCCAACAGCATACCTGTATTACTAGTTAGGATCTGTTTCCCGCCTCCTTGAAGGTCTTGCAGGTGGCTCCCTCCTTCCTGCTC